AATTATATAATAAATAACACTCCCCAAAACACGCACCCCTTCAACATACATATAACAATTAATTCAAAACCATTGTAATAAATTAGCTCCATCCCCTGTTCATGACTTTCAACAATAAAATTGAAAAATCAGATTAAATCGTTTTCCCTCCCTGCGACCCTTTTACACCCTAAAAATTTATTTTCCAAGTGTTGAACCGTGAAAAAAAGATCAGAGAAAGAGATTACGTGCTTTCCTAATCGTTCGAGAGAGCAATTATGTGTAAAAAAGAAAAAAAGAAAGAAATCCCTTTTAAAAGGGATGGTAAAATAAAAAAAAAATGAAGGTTGGAAAGAAAAGGATCAAGAAGGTTTGTCAAAGGTTTTATTTTCGAACAAGACACCCCCGTCCTTTAAAAAAAAAGGGCTTTTGTTGATCGAGCGTTAAAAACACGAGTGTTGACCTGACCCTATCATCCCAGGGTTGTAACCCTTCGTCATTTTTCACTCACATAACTTTTTCCAGCGTTAGGAATAAAATTCACCCTTTTTCTGCACATCAATCCCTTAGTCCTTTTTTTCGATTTTTCCATAGATCGATCGATCGATCGATCGATCGATCGAATCAAATCGATTTATTGTGAAACGTGTTCGAAAAAGAGTTTATTTTTGATGCCCTTCGAAGGGAACATTTTCTATAATGGAGTTTGCACATTGCATTTTACTATGCGAACGTTTGTGGATAAGGGAAGGGAAAAAAAAGATAAAAGAAAAAGACGAGAAGAAAAACAGGGTGGAAGTGGAACGAACGTATGTTCGAAAAAGGGTGGTGGGAGGAAGAGGAGGAAGGGAGAGTGGGAGGAAGGGAGGAATGAATACAAGCGATATGGGAATGTCGTCGTTGGAGAAGATTTACTCGACGAGTCATTTTTTAAAAATTCATTCGTTCATATCGCATGCGAACCGTTGTGGTGCAAGACTCTCCTTCCTTTACCACCCCTCCCTCCAGTTTTCCACCAGATTTTTCTATGAATCGGAAAAAAATTGTATGCGCTTGTGCGATAGTGAGAAATAATATCGATCGATGGAGATAATGTTTCATAATTTTTGCATTTGTTATATAATTTACAAATATATATAAAAGAGACAGACAAAAAAACAAAATAAAAGTGTACTTTTTAACAATAATATATTATATATATAATTATATTTTATAAATAATATATTACGTATCAAAATTATATGTAAATAACATTGTAATTAACATTATATATTATACAGATATATCTATAGGGGTGGGGGTGAAGGTGATGGATTTCATTCATTCTTTCATTCTTTCTTTCATTCTTTTTCCCAACACTTTAATTCTTTAAAACGACGCCCACCACCACCACCAACACCACCACCCCTACCACCTGTACCACCATCGTGCTTTCGTTTAATACGACAGAAGGAATATAAGGAAAGTTTCTTAGAAATAGGAAGCAAGCAACGAAAGGAAGGAAGGAAACGTGATTTTCAGTGTTACTAACACTAGGAGAAATGAGTGAGTGAGTGAGTGAGAGAGTGTTGCAACTCAATGCAATAGTACACACCCTCAACACATATGTAAGTTCTTCCCTCTTCGTCAAAGAGTTCGAGAATCTTGATGTATGTTGAGTCGTTAAAAGCTTGCCACGGTTTCAACCCCTCATCCTCTTTCCTCTCCCTACTTTCCCTCTTCCGTTTTCCTCCTCTCTCTTCCCCTTATCTTTTCTACCCCTTCTCTAACGTTGAAGAACTTCAGTTAACTTTATATCAACGTTAATGCGTACGTTCGTTCGTTCGTTCGTTCTGCGAGTAAGAAATTTTCATCCTTCCTTCCTCCTCCTCCTCCTCCTCCTCCTCCTCCTTTTCCTACAACTCTCTTTTTTACCCCTGTCCCTTCTCCTCCTCATTCTCCTCCTTCTTTTCTTCATCATCCCTCAACGTTTCCATTTCATCCCGTCTCATCTTCTGACTTCTTCTTCGTTTCTTTTCGTTTCGTTTCGAGTTTTACCCCTCCGGTTTATTATATTTCGTTTCATCCCCGTGACACGACAGAAACGTAAAATTAGAGGACTAACATGATCCCCTTCCCCCACCTAGCACGTACACAACGCATCTAACACATTCATACAAACCCACCCCACTCTCGTCGTATCCACATATTTTCATTCTTTTTTTCGTTTAACCCATTTTATATCGCACCCGGAGGTCGAGTATAATGTTACTTGTCCGTCAACGCTTATAACACGTTACGCGTCAAGAAAATGCGAGTGGACGATTGGAATTGGGGCTCTCGGGTAGAATAAAAAGTGGATGATGGACACTTGTGTGTGTATTCCGTGAATGTTGTGTCACGAAGGGGGAGAAAATGTTATCAGGCTAAAATAACTGGAAATGAAGAATATCGAAGGGGTGGGAGAAGGGAAAGGGTTTTAAAATGTTTGGAGTGGTAATTAAAATGTAAGGATAAATTTGGATGTAAATGGATGAATGAAAATAATGGTTTTTAACAAGTAACTTTGTTTTTGTTATTGTTGGAATGAAATTACAAGTAATTTTTCTATAATACGGTTTGACTATATAACATGATTCATAAATTGTGGCAATTTTTGGTACAACATTGTACTTCACAACAGCACTTGATAATATGATTTTTCTTTAACATATTACATAACTAAACCTATACACAGTGAATCTATTTATTACTTTTCATCTATTATTATTACCTATGTTATGATCAAAATTTGTAGATTTTATTCTTGATTATATTGTCTGAAGTACAAAAAAATTGAACTGAATGATCCTAATCGCTTTTTTTTTCTTTTTTAGAAAAATATTCAGACATCAAAAAAAAAAAAAAAAAAAAAAAAAATAAAGAAAAGTAGAAAAAGCATTTTCGAAAAAATAACAACAGTAACATTTTGGAAAGAAGATTTATCAAGTAGGGGGTTTAGCAGTTGCACTTAAGTTGCTTCGAATTTTCTTGAAACATTTGTCCTTTGTTTAATTTCTCAAAGAAAAATGTCTTACATCTTAAGAAGAAGTGTAGAGAGAGAGAGAGAGAGAAAAAGATAGAGGAATCAGAAAAAAGAAGTTGAAAGGTTTCCTCGGTTTTTGTTCGACAAGGGGAGGGGTATAAGCGGTGTGTTACATCCTGATCTAAAGTAAAACAATGAAAAATACTTGAAAATCTAGACGATTCAAGATCAGGATGATGATGATGGTGGTAGTGGTAGTGATGGTGGTGGTGGGTGGTTGGTTGGGCAGAATTCCAAAACAGAGAGAAGGAAAGGGTCGGAAGGAAAAGTTTAAAGGGTGGAATCTAACGATATAAAAGAAAGAAAAAGATATATAAGAATAACAGACAGGAACAAAGAAAGAAGAAATAAAGGAAAGATATAAATAAAACCAGAGAACGTGAAAATGTAAAGCTTTTTTATTATTTCTTTCTTTCTTTATTCTAGTCCTTTTTATCATCCTTTACTTTACTTTCCTTTCCCTTCTAACAATTTTTCTAAAAACATAAAAGTAAAGTTTATCCTAGAAACTCTTTTGCACACACACGCACACACGTAAAAACAAATGTTATTTTATAACGCATGACACACAACATGGTTAAGAAACAAGAATAGAAATAAAGTGATAAAGACAGTAAAATATATACCTCAGAATAAAAAAGATAAATCTGATGATTATTGATTTAAATTGATTTGATTTTGTTCATTTGCGATGCATTTCGAAACTATTCAACCGATCTTAATAAAATTTTTATTTACTTTATGTGATTTTTTTTTTGCAATTTTTAGAATAAAAATTAGTTTTTATCTTGATTATTTTTATTTTTTTATTGCTAATTTAAGTACTTGTTTTATTTAGAGGATTCTAGGTCTCTAAGTTCTGTAAGTTTTCCATAGATGGTGAGTTAAAGACAATCAAATAAAGTAAATAAATTTTTATTTAGATCGACTAATTAATTTCGAAGTTTATCACAGACAAAC